CCCTAAGATGAGAAAATTTCAGTTATAAAAAACTTACTCTATTTCCTAGTTGACAAATTATAGCAAAAAAAAAATAAAAATTAAAGCAATTGCTCTATGTTCAGTTGAAGCTGCTATTTAGTTTCCTACAATAGCTTTTATTCAGAAACACAGGGCTTTTACTTTTCATAATAATGATATTTATATCACAGAGCTTTTCACCAAGTGAGCTCTGACTATTTTACAATGGAGAATCTAAGGCACAGAAGAGGCAAAAAGATTCATCAGAGAGCATATAGGTCACTGAGAGCTTCAAGGATAGAATTCAGGTCTTCAGCCTGTGGCCCATTGTCCTACTTACCCCATCACACCACCTCCTCAAGTTAATAATAGCTAATACCATGGATTTACAGACTAATTCTCACAGACACTTCTGTAAAATAAGCAGTTATCAACCCCATTTTACAGAGAAGAAAACATGAAATGCTAAATTCTTTAGCACTCCATATACCTTGTGTCATCCCGTTACTACTGCATTGATACTCAACATAAATTCAGATAAAGACATACACAGCATTTTTAGCATACAACTCTGTATTCTGAGCTACAGAAATCAAGAGACGTGTCTAAAGACAGAGAGCAAGTCTGTGGCATAATGGGATGGAAATGGATGAGTGCTTAGTTCACACTTGTATGCTTAAGCCATTTCTATCTGAATAACCTTAATTCCTTAAAATTACATGGGACATTGGATCAAGGTACAGGATCAAGCAAAACAGCATCAGAAAAATTTCTATTTTTTTTTATTCCCAGCTTTCTAACATGGAGCTTTATGAAAGCACTTCCAAAACCAATTTTTGACAATCTATTTCTCTGCATTGGCATATTTAATTATCTTTTTGTGTTCAGATTATTCAAGAGTACAGCAGAGGAGATAACTGACATTTATTATTATGGGTTTTGAATATTGCTCCAAGTTAGTCATTATTTTAATTTTCTGAAAGATCTTTAAGGTCTATAGCAAAGTGGAAGCAGCATTGACTCACAAAAGAATTACATACAAAAAAAAATCTATATCGCATCACGAAGCAAGTAAAGAACTGTATTTCTATCTGAAAAATTATAAGCAGATCTGTATTTTTTTCCATGCAAGTGGCAAAAAAACCCACCCTCACAACAACAGAGATAGGTAACAAGTGCGGAGAGGTCTGTAAAATATAAACCCTACCAACCTTGAGTAACTGAAATCGCAAGTACCTACGTTCTTGGCCACACTGATAAGATATTTAAATTTCTAAGTAGTGCAGCTGTCCAATGCCACAGTGCTACAATAGTTCTTATAGTCACACACCATAATGACAACAGCTACATGATACCAGTCTTCGCGTTGTAATGAAATGATGTAAGCTTCCTAAACATCGACTTTATGTCTGTAAAATTGAGAGGACTCAAGCATCATACATTTAGCATTTATATACATTTTAAATAAGCATACCACCCAAACAGCAAGTGATTTACATGAACAGACGTAAAAACCGCTAGCAAGAACAATTAAACAATTCAGCATTTCACAGACACCAAAACAGTATCACAGATAAACCCCAGAATTTTTATGCACAATGCAGAAATAGTAAGTAATCACTAAGTCCCGTAACTTGAACAACATGGTCCAGGTGGACCATGACGCAGGCTGGTTTTAGTGTACAAGGGAGCAGGGCAGGCTCTGCTCCTCAGGGAGTGTGCTGTAGAGAGGTGCTCCCTCCACCTGAACTCCAAGCCACTCTGAACTGAGCATCGAACACTGCTGCAAGACTGATTTGGAAACAAGAGATCGATCCAAAAAGTTCCGAGTTTATCCATCCACCCTGCACCATCTCTGCTTGCACTATAGTCTGCAGTTTCTAGAGACACTGTTCCTACTTCAAACTTAAAACTAAAACAGTGTGAGTGTGTACCCCATGCCTTAATGCGGGAGCTTACGGATGCCTGGGCTCCACAATTTCTTCACTGCATACGTTCATCTCTCTTCCTTCATGCTGCATCTACTCTCAAAGAGTGGTCTACTGTTCATATGCCCCTCCTACATCACCATGCACGCAAAGCCATGCCAATACAGCCACACAACCCACAGGTTCTGAAAACTGCACATTTTACGGTATTTCTTCCTTCCCCTCGAAACAGGGCTCAACTGCTGTCTAATAAATGCCAATATAAGGACTACATTCATATGCTCCGTTTGTCTTTGGCAACATGCAGAACCTGCTTCTCTCCAGTTTTCAAGCGTAATCTTCACTCTGCCCCCTGCTACTATTACCAAGTAGATTTCTGCCATTTTGACTAAAAGTAGTTCAGTTACTTTCCACAGGGCGAATGGAGACTGCAGAGCAAGCTGCAGTACCTGGTAATGTTCACTTTGGTAACAGCATACATAAAATGACAACTTTCAGAGGTAGTAACCAAGTGTTATCACATATCTTTAGTGACCAGAACTCTGAACAAGAGATTGATAAAGAATATTTTAGAGATCAGTGATAAAGCTGCACAGCAAAACCCACCTAAAAAGCATTCAAAGCACAACATACAACATGGAGACTATAAGATTTCCAACTAAAATTATGTTATTTGTGAGGTTTTAAATTATTCAGAATAGACTAACTTAAAATTTGGCTTCTATCAAGAACAAGCATAGCTTCAGGAGATGTAAGGGCATGGTAAATATTTTTATCTAAATATGATTTTTTAAAAACACTTATAAAAATGAATAGTTTGCAATATGAGCATAAATATGTATCAAGGGCATGCAATAGAGGAAAAACTATTTCAACTCCTTTTTAATTTAACTGCAACATTATTTTTCTAAATGCTTCAAATTAATTTTACTTTAAGATATACTAACTACCTTGCTCCTTAATAACCAGACCCTTGTTCTAGTCCAAAACTTGTTCTTTGAACACCATGTGCTTTTAACAGATTTCTTCCCTTTCTTTGTTCTTGTGATTCTTTTTTCATACAAGAGATTCTAGTCTTCCCAAATGTTTCCATTATCAGTGCATAGAATTGTACAAAATTAATTACTGCACGGCCCCTAGAAACAACACAGTAACAGATCACACTGAAATTCTACAAGTTTCTGGGGACCTTGGGAAATTAAACTCACACAACTGCTGTAAATGCTCAGACCCAGCTACATTACAAGCATATTTGACAAAAAATTTAAGCTAAATGCTTCATAAGTATAGATTACTGGAAGAATATTATACTTTAAAACCAAAGCTGAGACATCCCGATAATCATTTAAATACTTCCACACACTCAGGTCTGGGCTTATACTGTTCTCACTTGAAGCAATGTTCACGTCTATGTAGTTCTGATGAACATTTAATGCAGACTGTGGGGGAATGATTTGCACTTTTTTTAATGAGTATGGAAAAAACTGGAAGCAATAACTCAGAATAAGATTAGCTCCTATTTTCGCAGACTAGTTACTTTCCACCATTAATAATCCTGCCCCATTTAAACTTCAAAATTCCTGAAGTAATTAAGCTATGTTGTGCTTGCCAATTTAGAGAGGCACTTGGGAGTAATATGCATGTTAATCAGGAACATTAGCTGCCAGACTATATGATTTCTACTTCTCATTACTCAATCTTTATTATTGTTGTTTAGAATTGTTTTTCAGTTTGGGGAAAAAACTCCACCCCACCTCCAAACTGAGATTCATCTCTGAGAATATTCACTCTAAGCTATAATACCCATTTGTTTTAGGGATGAGATGAATCCTTCCATAATCACCAGTTATTAAAAAGCTTCTTGCTATCAGGAACAAATAAAGATGTAGGACATCATAATCTCAATTGCCTAGCAACAACTCTTCTAACAACACTGACAAGTGGTTGGAGCCTTTTCTAGTATGAAGGAGCTGCTGGAGCAAAAGGACTGTCAGAGATGAGAATCAGCTCTACCTTTCTTGATGGCTAGCTCTGCTTTTCTTAGCATCAGAAGAATTTCCAGACAAGCAAAATCCTCATTTCTACTCATTGGAAAGTTAAATGATGCATAAAATATATTTTGAACCCTTACTCACGAGAGGCTCAGTCTGGCAAGGTAGAAAGTGAAGAAAGATGATGCACGAAGTTTTAGCCATGCCAAACCTACTGCAATACAGCAAACTTAGGTTGGAATGTACCAGACTGTTAGAGGCTTCTCTCACCTGAGATCAAGCCTCTTTTATTCTATAGATTTACTACTGAATACTCTGAGCCGCAAAAACGAGTGCAAAAGCACTGTATAGACCTTAAAATGCGCACAAGATCATTCAGTGCATTCTCACCACATACATTGAAGGTTTGCAATGCATACAGCGAAAGAGATACCAAGTTCTCCCTCTTTAAACTTCACTATCAAGATTTATTAACTCTATTGGCAAGAAGCAACCACTCAAGTTTCAGTAAAGATTATCTGTTATTTTCCTCTTTAAAATAACTTTACTCCATGGTATTTTAGAAGGCAGACACTTAGTTCAGAAAAATAATTTGAAATAATTCCATTTCATTATCAAAAAGGTACCAGAAATTTAAATAGATGAATACTATTTATCATGCAATGTAGCTGTTGACTGCCTTTCAATTTTGAAGGTTGATAAGCTAGCATTTTATCAGAAAGGATGATGTTTTAATCTAGATAGTAAGTTTTGGCATAGCCCAGTAAGCCTTGATTTCTCAAAATGCACGTGCAGTTTTATTATCCAATTTGTTAAGATATCAAATCTTATTTAGAGATTCACCCCGCCTACATCTCTTTCTTACAGGTATATGCATACCAACACATACCCACACACATGCTTCTTTCCACAGTATTATTTACATACACAAGAATTCAAAGAATTAGATCAACACAGCTTAATCTCAAACCAGTTCTAAAAATACATAGAACATTAAAATCTCATTCTCTTCTAATAGAACTCAATTGTTCTCAACAATGTACAGATGTCATTCTTTGTAAAAAGAGAATTTAAAAGTCACCTTTCAAAAGCTGATTCAGGTCCATGGCATCATGCAAGACTTTTCGACTATATCTGCGATCAAACTCGGAATCTAATGAAAAAAATACAGACATAAGATTGGATTTCCCAACCCCACTGGTTTTACAAATTTTGTGTTGTACTTAAATTCTTCGCAATTACCATATAATTCTTGGTTCACATTTTCCTGTCTTTTTATTTTTAGTTTCTTATCATTTGAGGCTGCAAGTTCAAAAGACTGGATAGGACTGATGTCTGGAGTTGACAGAGGCGTTACATCAGTCACAGTGTCTTCAGACTCCTCCAAGTAGTCACCGAGCTTTGGTTTTCCTTCTGCTAATTTCATTGCTGACTTGAATTTTTGTTTTGGAGACAGAAGAGCATTCCTACAAGCATTCCTCTTTGAAGAAGAATGAGATGAATCTGATAAACAGCTATCAGAATCTGTATCAGAACAATCTGTATCTGAGCTTGAGGATGAGGACGAGGAGGATGAGGAGGATGAAGAAGAGGAGGAGGAGCTAATATTAGTATATTTTTTGCTAGCCTTTTTTGTGTTGTTTGACTGCTTAGCTGACTTTGGTCTAACCTTCTGTTTTTTGCCATCGTCACTGCTATCTTCTTCATCTGTATAATAATCTTCTTCACCTTCTTTAACTATTTTGGGGATTCCAGCAGGTATATTCTCCTGTGCTCCCCTACTTGCTGCAGATGTTGCTCCAGATGTACCTGCATTCTCCACAACTGGAGAAACTGACAAAGATGAAGCATCTCCAAGATGATCTGTGCTATTTTCTAGGGACTGATCCTTCTGCAGATCTTCCTGCTTTTCTTCACTTTCCCCCTCACAACACTTTACATCCTTTGAATTAGAAACCAAACCAGGGTCTGCAAGAGCTGCATTTGTACTTCCTTTCTCTATACATTCACCATTTTCTTCAGCTTTCTTTTTCTCTTCCTCAAAATCACTGTCAAAGAAAGCATGATCCACTTCACCATCTGATACATCTTCAAACCGGTCCATACTGAAATACAAGGTGTCACCTGCAACCATCAGAAAAGGTTTCCAAAGGTTAGCACAAAAACAGATCCAAGTACACTTTTAGTATAATAGTTTTGTTCTTTACTCTTTTAGCTCTGTAATTTATAATTCTGCAATTAATTATGTTATGTTGCTAGGGACAACTCCGTAGTGAGTTACATAAAGAAATTTAGTGCTGCCACATTGTACACAGCTTACATGTTAGACTGACAAGCTTTACTTTAAGCCAACAAAAACCATCACAATTTCAAAACTTTTACTCCTAAGGAAATTAGTCAAACATTGTGAGCTGCTAAAGAATTTTAACTATTACAAACAAGCAATTGAAGTGTCTTATTTTGTCCCTTTAGTTAAAGCCATTTTAAGCTAGAGCTACACTGTAGGTATCAGGTCCTCAGCACTAACCGTTACGCTCTACAAATCTGCTCCTATTGTGTCATACTCCTTGCAGAAATATATGGTGTTAGATCCTATGCATGTGGCAGGGGGGATATGAACATTTCCACTCATTACTAGGATATACACAGAGTTAAAATAAAAAAAAAACCAACACAAAACCAAACAACACCCCACAACTAAAATTAGCCAGTATCAGAGACTACTGTTCCCATGTAGCCAGCAGTTATTTTTTTCTACTATTTACAACAGATTTTATATAAGTTTTGTAAGCCGCAATCAATAAATATGTAACATTCTTTAGAGTCAAGGAAACCAATACCAAAGGCAGTGGGAGCAACCATACAAGTCAGGAGAACCAGAATATTTTACAAGATGGATGGTCTCCCTTAAACCACATATAGTCTGTTGCCATGGCAAACAAAGGTGAAAAAGGAATTCCTAAACTTGCTTTGAAACTCCAAGACTATTCCCGAGAAAGCTTCTAGCTAAAATTATTTCAAAATATAGACTTTTTAAAGATCTATGTCACTCAGTTATCTTACCACCTCTCAAATAATACTCAGTTTTAAAGGAAATAGAAATAAGCACTCCAAATACAAAAAGCACAACATGAAACTTAAAAGCAGAAGGTATGGAATCTCCCATGGTTTTAAGATTCACAAAGCCAAAGAATTGAAAAGACACTTAAGTTTAGATGTTGTATAAAGCTGAAAATGCTACTAAACAACAGAAGTAGAGATCAACTTGCTACCACAAAGACAAACTCTTTAAAGCACCTAGCTCCTCCAAGAGCAACAGAATGAAGGAGAAAAAGACCTGGGAACTCTTAATTTGAAATGCTGCATGGAATTTGGAAATTTTTCATATTCATGTCACTTCTTATGATGTCTGGCTTCAGGCAGTTTGTATCGTCTGCAACGCCCAACTGTCATGTGAATTCCTGGAAGTTTTCCTAGAGCAACTTCCTAAAAGGATAATGCATTTCAATATATCAAAACATGCACAATAAAAAAAAATAAATATCAGGAGAGTAAAACATTATTTACATTTAATTTTCTACCTCATGTAACCTAAACCAGAAGGGAACCAAGCAGAATTTTCTGGCATTACCTGTAGACTATAGATCATGAATTATTCACCTAGCAAGTACAACTTGGACCAAGTCAAGTGTATGAAGAAAACAAATATAGGAAGTACAGTGAAAGTACAGCACATGAAAACAAAAACCTTTCTTCTCCACGATGTCAGGTTTTTATTACTTAAAGCACTAGCATCTCACCAGTTTGTAGCTTTAGACAGATTATCACCAACTGGTAAAAGTAGGCATGTGGTGCATTTCACTTGTCTCAAACACATAGATACAATATACTGTTAGCACTGTTGTACATGTAAGAGCATAAGGGGATAAGGCAAAAGCCAGGTTTGCGGGTGGATGCAGACCAACTAGTACAGCTTGAAATATAAAGTTTTGTTGAGTGTAATACACACATGCATGTATTTTTAGTTTATGTAATACTACTCCTGTAAAGGAGACTAAACTAATGGTATCTCACAGTCATGCCACGACTTCTCATGTCTCTTTTCTGAACACGATCTCCGAAGTGAGGATGAGATTTAAGTTAAGACAACGGCAAAAGGGCAGCAGAGCAGTGTCAAAAGGTGATAAATGGTAGCAAGGAGCCTGTACATTCCTTTTCACCATTAGCACCAGCCAAGGAGCACACATCTTCCCACTCTGCATGGCTCAGGAATAGCTGACCTCCTAGTGGGTTTATTGGGTTGTTTTCCATAAAGACTGAGCCATAACTGATTCACGGACAGCAACCGCAGTTACAGGAGAAATGCAGTTTAGCAGTCTGACTCTGCCCAAGGAGCAGCAGTTGTAACACCAGTCATTTCGTTGCCAAACACTCCTTCCACTTTTCTGGCACAGCCCTCTAAAGACTTTAGCCTTCATCTTAATGGAAAACAGACATGCTGTGTTGGTCAATTTCTCTCACTGACACTCTTAATAATTCACAAACTAAACATTAATTTTGTAGTTTCCATTAAAAACAAACAAGGGGAAATGAAGACATGGTATTATTGGTTCCCATTCCCCTTATGCACCTGGAACGTCTTTAAGGGGGCTGGAATTTGCCAAGAAGCAGCAATACAGAAGAAGCAACTTTGCTGATAAACCGTGCCTAAATTAATAATGTGGCTGTGCGTGCAATCACACACACTCACATCCCTTTACAAATAGGGCAGAGTGTAATTTTATTTCTGTGAGAAGTACAGAGTTCTGCTATGTTATCAATTGTTAAAATACAGAATCAACAAGTGATATTCTGAAATTTCAAGAAAATTGTCATTAGAGTCAAATACTTATCATTAACTGCTAATTCTAATGACCATCCTATTTAGTTACAAAAAACCATATGCTTTCTGCCATGAAACTGTCTAACACAGATATGATCAACTCAAATGAGCAGACTGGCCATTAATTATGTCAGATCTTTTTTACTGTAGTATTTCCTCTCCCCGTGTAATTCTCCACCTCTCTCTCTTATTTCTTGTAACACTGTCACCCACCCATTACCCTAGCCAAGCACATCCATTCATCTTTGTCTCTTCCTCACTGCAATTCCTCCTAGTTTATTTCACTTTTTAATCCCTTCACTTGTAAACACCAAGCTTGACCCATTTAAGATCAGAAAGCCGTGGCCAAGCAGCCAAGGAGAACATGCAGTCTGGCTGTCAGGGCAGTAGGGACACACACTTTCTCATCAAGAGGTTAACGCACTGAGCATCTGACTACCTACTGAGACCGCATCTGTGTTCTCACTGGCCGGCCACTGCAAGAGTAAAGACCACTCAGCTCCTGTCCACGCCACCCCACTGCCTGCTGCTGCACTTCCCAAAGGACAAGCAGCGTTTGGACATCCTCCTCCATGTTAAACGAAGATCAAGACCTTATTCGCGCTAAACAGAGTGTTTTTCCCCTGCCAACTACAGCACCACCTGAAATATTTTTGTAGGTAATGCCTACAAAATGCCTAGGCATGGCTGCAACATAAAGTAACCTGAAATATTTTTGTAGGTAATGCCTGATAGCAGACCTTTAGGCATGGCTGCAACATGAAGTCTCTTATGCAAAGGTAAGATAGTACATAAAAAGCGATACAGTGAGAGTACAGATTTAGATGTGGGTTTGTGTTTGAACATATATTGCCTTTTGATAACATTTTTTGAATGTTAATGTACTTCATAAGTGTTAGTTTTAAGTATCTAGTGAAAGATTCAAGGTAATTTAACCTTGGTTAAACTTTAAAGTTACCCAATCAATCTCTCACTTTTTTAAATGCAGGCCATCTGGAACACATGCATCAGAGAGTACTGAAATAAATCACAGGGGAAAAAAAAAAAAAGAAAAAAATTAACATTAAAGTACACGCTATGATCAACTTTCTTTTCTTTTAAGCATTCTACTTTCATAATTGAGGAAGAGGATGGTTCACATAGAGAGGAAAACTTTTTTTTTTTTAATCTAGTAACACAGAAATTCCTAGCAGGCAAAACACTACACACTGTGCATTTGCATACTATACATCCTCTGAAGGCCCTAAGTCCTTTCAGGACATCTTAAGATTCTGGTATTTAATAAAACTGGAAGAGAAGCCCCCTAAGCACACTGTGGGCTGAATCAGAGATTTCTGATGTTACTGCATGCATACTGTGCATCACCACAAAGGCCATAATACAGCACAGCTATAGTACACTCAACGTGAGCGAACAAAACATTTCCTGCAACAAAAAGGAACAGACATATGTTTGTTAATACATCCTATGAAGATATGTGAAGTATCAGAAGCAATAATAATGTATTCAGCTCCAATAAGGGACCTTCTGGTTAAGGGTTATTCATTTTCTTTGTAAGTATAATTGATACTAAAAGAAGTAACCAAGGGGGGGCAACCTTCCCCCAGGCCGTACAATTAGCGCTCCCACAGGTGGCACCTCTCTTTTCAGCTGGAAATTTCTGCCTCTTCAGAATAGGGACTCACCCTCCTGAACTCAGAGAGCAGAATCAAGTGTTTGAGAGCTAAGGGGTCAGAAGGCTAAAGTGTTTTAATCAAAGATTTATGCTATCAATGGCAGATGTTCTTTAGGACACTCCAAAATTCTCTATTTACTCATTATTGCCCCTCTGTCAGGGATCCTGCACTCTTAAACCTGCTGACAGCCAAATCACCTCCTTGCATGGTGAACTTGGAAGAGGGTGAAAATGCTAAACATATCATCTGATTAATGTTTTCAAAAATAACAATCATTAGAGAAGTTACCATGTAAAAAGACACTAGTTCAAACTCCATCCCCTCTTTCTCCCTCCCCTCCTCATTTTTGGCTCGAGGCTTAAACAAATAAAAAGACAAACTTCAAAGTGTCTAGAACAGAGCAATAAAATTTTTAAGACAATTAGAAAAGTCCAACTTCTGAGGATTTGTTTAGTTTAAAAGAGGAGAAACACAGGGAAACATAAGTCTTAAAACCTGGAAATCAGACTAACCCAAAACTGAGTTCGTTCTCAGACACAATCAACA